CTCACTCCACGTTCTCAGACGGCCCAAAAAGGCCCCTAAGGTCGTCCCAGGACCGCCTCAGACGCCCCCCAGAGGGTGCCAATGGAGCCCCTGGTGGCACAAAGACGGCCCTCGAAGCGCCCCTGAGGCGTCCGAAACGGCCCTGAGACGGACCAACATAGCCCACAGAGCCCCCGACAGTTTCCAAGAACGCCCCCAACTGCTAGCAGCGGCGCTCAACACTCCCCAGGCGGCTTCCACGCGGCCCACATTCGCTTCCCAGACGTCCGAAGATGCCTCGAAGACCACTGTGGGCCCGCGTGGCCAAGGAAGGCTCCTAGAGAGCTCCAACACCGGTGGAGGTTAAGTCACGCCAGGCAGTGCTCGCGTGATGATCATCATGGTAATGAAGTCGACGATTGTAGTGATGACGATGTTGATGATAATGATTGATTTGCTGCTCGTGACGGTGATGATGTTGATGATGATTGCTATCCTTTGGGGCTCGCATCCGTGGTTTCTTGGCCATGGAAGGCGCGCGCAATTGCCGCGCGCTCGGACTTTGCTCCAGACGGTGTTGACTTGTGGTGTTGGTTCGCGTCCGCTGTGAAAAAAACACACACACACCCCAGGCGCTCGCCGCCCTCTCCCCGCCGGGGACAGTTTCACCCTGCAGCGCCCGGCCTTGGCCGCAATACCCTGGGCAGCTCCCGCTGGGGCGGGGGTGTCCCAACATCTCACCCAAGGCGCTGCATAGCTGTGGACCTTGCCTGGCCACCTCACCCCCCCCTGCAGCTGGCGGGGGTGAGCCCGCAGGCCCCACCGGCCCATGGCCAACAGCCGCCCTCTACGACGGCTGACTGCTCGGTTGGGGACCGGGGTTGGACGCAGACGCCTCCCCGGGCTCCACACCCTTTGCTGTCTCTTGACAGCCACTTTGGTCGGCCGGGGGCGGTTGACTGGAATAGTCCTCCCCCTGCGCACCACTCTGCTGGCGGCGGTCTGTGTGCAGCCCACACTACCCCCCCTAGTCCCCAGCTCTGTGTGAGCTGCTTACATGACATGTTTCATTGCGGCCGTTGGCTGCACCCTCCCCGTTGATGACGTCCCAGAGGGGACTTGAGAGGCGGTAGTGGATGGGAACCCTAGCGAGGGCCATGAGGAGGCTAATCGGCCCACAGGAGCGGATAGCGCTGTCCACCCACCATGGGGACAGGCGCCTATACTGCCCCACGCAGTGGCGGGTCTCTCCCCCGAGAGACCGCCAGATGTCGAAGGAAGTGGCGACCTTACACATGTGACATTGCGGTTGTTGGCTGCACCTCCAATCCTCCTCCTCCTTCTCCTTACCGACACATGTGTACATTGCGGTTGTTGGCTGCACCCCCCCTCTCCTCCCCGTGGTCAGATTCAGCCCTAGCTGCGTTCCAGCGCTCCATGAGGTGGTCGCGGCAGCTGAGAATCTCGGCGACTATCGTGACCGGTACCTGCAAGTGCAGTATACCGGCCCTTGGGCCAGCGTGTCCTCTCTCATCGTTGCTGCCCCGACCAGTCACTGGTTTCGGATGCGATGACGACACACCGGCCCCCCCCGGGCAGCAGTGCGGTCCGCGGAGTGACTGCTCTGTTGGTACTTGCCGTCCCCCGGCTCTCTCTGTGGTCAGTTTCAGCCCTGACTACAACCCAGCGCCTATGTGTTGGCCGCGGCTGCAGCATACCTCGGCGACCTTCGGCCGTTACCCGCTTGGCGGCAGTACTGGCGCTTGGGCCTGCGTGTCCTCTTCCATCGTTGCTTCCTGGCCTGTGACCTGGTTTCGGGGACGATGGCTGACGCACCGGCCCCACCACGGGCAGCGGTGTGGATCGTGGAGTGAGAGCTCTGTAGGTCCCTGCCTTTCCTCTGCCCCTGTCCCAGCCGGCCCCGCGTACGGTGGTGGTACGGACCTCGCGCTGAGTGGTTCAGCCTTCAGCGTGTTGCTTCGGTTCTACGTGTCATCTTCGGCTAGGTTGGCTGCGCGGGCTGGCGCCGACAGGGCGACTCCCCATTGCATACCACTGCGGTCTGCTTCACCTCGGTGTGGCTGGCGCCTAGGTGCGTTCGCCCTAATTCGGAGCATTTTGCTCAGTGCGTGTGCACACCTCGCATTCTTTGCGATTTATTACTGCAGGTGCGTTGCCTGTTGTAGCTAATTCGCTTCGCCTGCTGGCCCAGACGACGCCTACCGCTCCCTGTCCGCTGCCTCGGAACCGCCGACCAAAAAAAATCCCCACCAGCCCATCCAGAAACGATACCCAGAGGAATTGCCTGGATCAGGGAAGTGGGCAGCATTCAGAGGAAGCCATTATGAGACATCTTGGGACATCTTGAGCAATCTAGGAGGTCATCTTGGGCTCCCCCAGGCGCTCTTGGAGTAATCTTAATCAGTGTTCCCCCCAAAGAGGCCAACACGTGGCTAAAACCTTCGTGAAGTCAATGATTTGGCATTCTCGCCGAGGCCTCTTGGAGTATCTTGGGTGCCTCTGGGGGGTCTGTTGGGGCTTCTTGGGGGTCTCTTGAGGGCCTCCTGGGGGCCTCTTGGGGCCATCTTGGGGCCATTTTGGGGCCATCTTGGGACCTCTCGGGGCCTCGTGGGCGCTTCTTGGGGCCATCTTGGAGGAGATCGATCAAGCAAGAGGGGGGCATTAATGAGTGTCCCCCCCAGGAAGCCAACATGGGGCCAAAACCATAGTTAAACAGATGATTTGGGCTTTCTCGCCGAGGCCGTTTTGGCATTTGTCGCCGAGGCCTCTTGGAGCATCTTGGGTGCCTTTGGGGGGTTTCTTGGGGCCTCTTAGGGGTCTCTTGGGGGCCTCCTGGGGGCCTCTTGGGGCCATCTTGGGACCTCCTGGGACCTCTTGGGGCCCCCTGGGCGCTTCTTGGGGCCATCTTGGAGGAGATCGATCAAACAAGAGGGGAGCATTAATTAGCGTCCCCCCCCAGGAGGCCAACATGGAGCCAAAACCTTGATAAACCCAATGATTTGGGCGTCCTCGCCGAGGCCGTTTTGGACGCTCCGACGACTCGCGAGACCCCCTGTCCAGGTTTAGGGGAGGGGGTATGGGGGAGGGGTGAACCCCTCCCCGAAGAGGAAACTCCTTAAACCACCGACGCCCACAGGGCTGGTGGGGTTAACGATTTTGGGTTCTCCAGGTGCTCTCGGGAGGCCTTTCGGAGCTTTTCGTGAGGTTTCTTGGAGGCCTCTTGGGAGCCTGGAGAGCCGCCCGAATTCTATCTTGGGTTGCTTGGGAGCATCTTGGGCCGTTCTTCAACGTTATGGGGGCTTCTTGGGGTCGTCATGGGCTGTCCTTGGGCGTTTTGGGGGCTCCCAGGGAGGCCGGGAAGCGCGGTACTGGGAGCGCAAGGCAGATGTCACAGGGAGGTGTGGGACCCCCGTGGAGGGGGATGGGGGCGTATTTCCCTACCTAGGCTCTGCCTAGAAGGGTTCTTACTCGGTGTGCTTAAAGGGCTGGGCAGTGTAACCCGCCCCGGGCGGTTCCCCCGGCATCCGCTCCGCGGTTCCCCCAGTGACGCTCCCTTAGCTTAGCGTTGCGTATTTCATGTTAGCTTAGCGTATTTCATTTTAGCTTAGCTTCATCTTAGCTCAGGTTTATCTTAGTTTAGCTTACCTTCATTTTAGCTTCGCTGAGTTTTAGCATAGCAGAGCACAGCATCGCATTGCATAGCGTAGCACAGCACAGCGCAGCACAGCATATAGCAAAGCCCAGCATAGCACAGCATAGCGCAGCATAGCATAGCATAGCATACCATAGCGCAGCACATCACAGCACAGCGCAGCATAGCATAGCAGAGCAGAGCAGATCAGAGCATATCATAGCATCGCATAACATAGCATATCATAGCATAGCGCAGCATACCATAACATAACATATCACAACATAGCTGAGCATATCACAGCGCAGCATGACATATCATAGCATAGCGTAACATCTCATAGCATAGCATAGCATATCATATCATATCATATCATAGCGCCGCATAGCATAGCACAGCATAGCATAGCGCAGCATAGCATGGCATAACACAGCATAGCATAGCAGAGCAACGAATTCTGCTTTCCTAGGGGCTCCACCTTCTAGGTAGGGTCGCGCTGGGGTAATTGTTTATGTGAAATGCCCGCAAACGTAGAGGGCGCTACATGCCCGCGCACCGTCACAAGGGAGAGCGTGCACATAATCGCTGCGGATCATCAAGCGACTGCGTTCGGCGCGCGGCCATGCCCCTCGCCCGTGTCGTGCCCAGTGGACGGGCGCGTTCTTCGAAGCCCGCGCTTCTGTCGCGTTCGGCAACATCAGCGCGAAAATCTGTTCGCGGCACCTGCTGCTCTTTCGCGCGGCTTCTGGCGATTCCACGCGGGTCGCCGGGAGGCCGCACGAGCTACTCCGAATGGTGCATCAGCGTCCGCGGTCTTTTCCTAGCGCCCGAACCAGCGCTGCAGCCGCCGCTCCCGCAGTGCCGCGGCCGCCGCTCCCGTGTGACACGCAGTGTGCGCCGTGGCCGCGACCCCTCCGCGCCGCAGGCTCGGGAAGATCCCCCCCCTCACTCCGTGGGCGCAAAGGCGCGAGGGGCCGGAGGGCGCGAATGGCACGCCCACCGCCCATCCTGGATGGGCCGATCCTGGGCCCAGGATCGGTGCGCGTGTGCCCTGCACTGCCGGGGCAGGAGGGCGCGTGCCCCGGCCCTGGGCCCCAGGTCGGCCTGGCCGGGATCGGTGGAGGCACGTGCCAGAGCGGGACGACCGCCCGGCACGCCGCCCAGCAGAGACGCCCAGCGAGGGTGATCCTCCTCTTCCTCGTCCTCGTCCTCCGCCTCCTCTTCCTCCCACGTCTGGGGACCCCAGGTCGGCCTGGCCGGGATCGGTGGAGGCACGTGCAGGCGTGCAGGTGGTGCCCTGGCGGCGGGGCCAAACTGCGCGGGAGCGCCGCCGGCGGGCGTGCGGCGCGCGCCCGGGGCGCCGCGGCAGGCGATGTTCTGGACCTCCCCGCAGCCCGTGTTCCTCGCCTCGAAG